GTAGAAAAATTGTTTAAGGGCATAGGCATGAGTGGTTTTTTTTTCAAATGTACCATGATACTTATGATTGTTTAACATTGGAATTTATCTCAAGTTTTAATGTTATTAAAATGAATGCACTAATCACTCATGTACAATTCCGATTATTAAACAACGATGTGAGACTAACTCTAAAAGAATTTGGAAAGTTGTTTGATTTAAAATCGGATAAACCTATTGAGCCCTCTCAAGACCACACCGCCGTGGTCTATAAGAGGTTAACTGGGGAGGATTTAGTGAACCTCCAACATGCCAAAGGGACGTGGATTCAACATCCCGTCCCAAAGCTTTGACAAAGATTTGTCGGCCTCACTATTTTTGGGAGGCACAAACCGACAAATGTTCGGAGAGATGAATTGGAACTATTGGCATCCTATATAATTCCTAATGCTGAAAAATTGAACATACCCCATAGGATAGCCAATCATTTCCAAAGGGCGGCCAATGCGGCCGAGGCTAGTAGGTCTAGAGCACCTATTTACTCTGGGGGGTTAGTGACCCATATTGCTATGAAACACTTAGGTTGGAACCCCGATGGCCATAGGAAAGTTGTGGGATCGAACCTAATGGACCTACCCTATTTAGGGAGTTTGAACTGGGTACAACCGGTGGGGAGTGATACTTGGTGGATTGTCCACCGACAATCGGGTAGGAGGGACCAAACCTTTACCTTACCCAACCCCGCCTTGACCAAATTTGAGAGGGGGAAGCCCTCTTATACTTTCGAGATAAATGGTCAAGGTGAGGTTCAACCACCTCACCCCTCACCAAAACCCCACTAATCCCCCATTCACCACTCACCCCACTACCAACCACCCCCACCTTTCACCTACGGCATGCCCACTTCCTCGGTCGATTACAATGTCGACCCCAATGCCCCATATGACTTTTCGGCTTTTAGGAGCCAATTAGACCGCATTGAGACGGGGCAAGGGAGGGTTGAGGGTATGATGCAGAACCTAGACTCTAGGTTAAGCTCCCTAGATGGGCGGGTTGGTCTTATAGAGAGGAACCTAGGGAGGGGCCTTTACCCCATGTATGATGATTATGCCCGTCGGGGGGCTATTCCTCCCGATTCACTTACTCCCGATTGGTTCCAATACCCCCAAGGAGGGTATTCTCACCCCGGTGCTTATGGTACTTATGTGGACTACTCTTCGGTCCACGGATATGGGGGTATGGGTGGGAATGTAGACCCTAACTATTATGCAGGTGGTTCGGGGTATGGTGGTGGTGGCTCTAGCCATGGAGGAGCCAGTTCTAGCCACGACGGGGGTTATTCTAGGATGGATGAGGATGAGGAGTAGACTACTCTCCCAAGTCAATGAGGGCATTGCTTGATTTGGCTTGGGGGGTGTTCTTTCACTTGAAAAATTCTCTTCCTTTTCTCTCTTTATTTGCTTTCTAGTACAGTTTTTATTTGCTTTCCTAGTGTAGTTTTTTATTGCTTTCTTATATATGAAAAATACAAAAAAATTCAAAAATAAAAAAATTCAAAAATACGTTCCAATGAATTGTAAATCATGCTTCCCTATGCCCCATACTTGAGAAAATTTGTTTTGATTCTTGGTATTTGATGATGAATTTTGTGGATTTGTTGGTCATGATTTGAAGTCTAATTGTTTGGATTCCTAAACTTGCGTCAATTTTGCCCAATACTTGTGAATATAGTGCTTGACTAGTTGATTTGGTTAGGAAATGTGTGATAGTTCCATAATTCCTGGTATGTCAATGAATTTGAGTATTGATTTGCAACTATGAGTAGTGTTTCATGACTTATTATTATGCACATGAGGAGGACGAAGGCGTTCATTCTTTTAGGTAGCCTTCAGAGTATTTAGATACATTTGTTCCCTTCTTGTCACCTATGTTGTTGCTTGTGCCCTTTTATTGTTTATAGCAACATTACAAGCCTTAATTTCCCCATTGGTTACTAGTCCCAAGCTTGGCTTGGGGGAGCTATTAGTGAGTGAGGTGAGGGAGTTTGTAGTGTGCACACTATTTGCACAATTTGGGTGGGTTTCGAGAAGTAGTTTGTTCTTGATCATATTTTTGTTTTTATGAGTTTGAAAGTTGTATAAATTTGAGAAAAATAAAAGTGTGATGGAAAAAAAAAGAAGTTCAAAAAAAGTGAGAAATTTGAAAAAAAAAGAAAGTGAACTTCTAAGAAAAAAAAAGACAAAAAATGTTTGATGTTCAAATGTTCTAAGTGAAGGTTAATCAAAAGAAAAGAAAAAAAAAGTTGAGTTTCAATGTAAATATTTCAAGTTATGAGTTCAAGGTTTGTTTTTCACTCAAGTTCTACATTATCATATTTTTATGAGTGAAATTGTGAGTGTTGGGATTTTTTTTATTGTTTGGAGTATATTTGGTGGATTGTTGTTGGAGTTGGTTATGTTGGAGATGTGTATGATCTTTATTTTTGATCATGGGTTTATTAGGATTTAGCTCCCTTAATGCATAGCTTTTCTCTCACATAATCCCAAATTTATCCTACCTTTACCCTAGCCTTACATTACAAGCTTAAAAGACCTTCCGACCTTGTGCATAGAAGTTATGTAAATGTGAAAGTGTTGTTTTTCAATGCAAGTTATGACTTGGCATATTTTGAGTCGACTAGTAGGATAAGCGTTCAATGTTTTTTATACACACGAGAGTGTGAGTTGGGAGGGCATTGTTCACATTAAAGGGGTTGGGTGGAGAGCGATCGAGTACATTCTTTACTCGCCACATAAATGAGAGTCGAGTGTGTGAGCACTAGTCTTGAATTCTATATGCTCTTGTGGTTTGCTCTACTTGACAATTGTTGGGGAGGAAGGGTGATTAGATGAATAAGATTGATTGATGTTGAAGCATGTTCATTTAATTTTACCTTGAATCGTTGGCTTTTGATTTGTTTATTGGGGTGAAGCATGTTTTATTGTTCATTGATGAGCTCTTTGCTTAGGGACAAGCAAAGGTTTGGCTTGGGGGAGTTTGATATGTCTATTTTATATAGTGTTTTACCCCCGTCCCGTGGTCATTATTAGTAGTGTTTTTGGCTCTTTCGGGCCTATTTTATTACTAATTTGTGTGTTCTAGTGTTTTCGTAATTTTAGTTGTATTTTACAGGAAATTGCACTCTTGGAGCATTTTCCCGGGCCTTATTGGATCGACTACGGAAGCTAGAAGGACACGACCACTTTCGGAGCCCAAGATCGGTGAGAGCCGATGACTAAGGGCTCGGTTATTTGGATCACGAGGCATTTGGACCATGTATTCGAGACCCGAGAGGAAATATGAATTGGGCCGAGGAATGTAGCCCAATCGAAGTCCAAGCCTCGAAGATGAAGACCGGGCCCGATCGGGCAAGCATACGCCCGATCGGGCGGCTGCGTGTGTTAGTGCCATCAAGGAAAGGCGCGCCCGATCGGGTGAGCGTAGGCTCGATTGGGCGCGGCACATTAGAATGGGCGTTGTAAAAAAAGGCGGGCCCGATCGGGCGGCCCTTCGCCCGATTGGGCGCATGTTTTTTCTAGAGTCTGATTAAGTTTAGTTTAATTCGTGTTTTAGGAAAGGTTTATATACGTTTTTGTACGGAATAATTACTTACCTCTTTCTCTTATACTTTCTCTCTCTACTTAGTATTTTTCTCTCTCTTAAATTCTCTCTAAACTCTTGTTCTTAATTCCTCCATTAATTGCAGATTTATTTTGGTACAATTTCTTCCCTTTTTAATTTCAGCTATTTTAATTGTTTTCTTGATTATGTTCTTATTTATTTATTTGATTGGTTTAGTTATGATGATTAGTGAGTAGTTTAATTCTAGGGTTTATGGGGATCCATAATTAATATGAAGGGATAGTTTGTTATTATTGATTGTTGATACTGCATGATAATTTCCTATTGAATTGTTTTAATTCTTTGCAATTAGGTTATGAATCGAGCAGATGTAATTTGATTGTGAATGTTTAGCAATATTGAATTGATGAATCGAGCAGATGTTGATTTAATATTAAAGACTATTTTTAATAGGAACTTAGGTCTAATAAATTGCGAGAGCCTGTTAGATCTATGTTGGTTAATAAATTGCGAGAGCCTGTTAATCATGTTATTTGTGCATTGTTAATTATTAATTACTTCGTTCTATCCCGGAATATTAATTATTGGTGAACCTGTGACCCTAGGTTTCCTTATTATTGATTCTTTTCTCCCTAAACTCATTCTTCGTAGTATAGAATTCACATTTAAAATATTGGTTACCCTTAGATAATTTAGAGTATAATAATTAATTAGAATTAAAAAGACTTGTTTCCCTGTGGAGTTCGACCCTACTTCCCTATCTACCTTAGTTAGTGATTTAGGTAATTATTTTTGGTTAGGGGATACGACTTTACCAGGTCAACATATATTATAAGAATGAACATCTGATAGTATGAAGATGAACATTTAATTTTATAAGAATAAATATCCTATAGCAAGAAAATGTTTATATTTTTATATTAAATTGTAAACATTAATATTATAAGAATGAACATCTTATAATATGAAAATGAAAATTAATATTATACGATTGAACATTTGATATTATGAAAATGAACATTTAATTTAGTAAGAACAAGGCCCCGTTCACTTCACCTTTTTTTTGCTGAATTGAAATTAATTTTACTGAACTGAAATTAATTTGCTGAACTGAAATTATTTTTACTGATTTTCTATCATATTTCTTCTTTAATTTTACTGATTTTTACTTAACTGAAATTCTTTTTGCTATACTGAATTTATTTTAACTGAACTGAAATTAATTTAACTCTTAATTTCAATTCAGCTCCAATAAGTTCAGTTTCTAATTTCTTCTCTCCTAAACCATTCAGTTCAGCTCACTTCACTTCAATTTAGTTCAATACCAATCATCTGAGCTCAATTCAGTAAATATCAAGACCAACTAAAGATTTGCGCTCAAATATCCGTGCGGACACTTGAATTTGGGCTGCCTTAGAATAGCTTTGTGTAAACAGCCTGTTAACTAGTTTGTTGAGCAGCCGCTACAACACACAAAACACTAACGAAAGAACGAAAGAAAGTTTCTCTTCGTTTTGTTCTTGAAATTTGAATCTACCATACTGTTGAAGCAGCTTCTCAGCTTTCTCTCTCCTCCATTGAAGCAGCTTTTGAGGTAAAGATGTTTCTTTTGTTTAATCTTCGAATGTCAATTTCACAATCTAGGGTTAATCGTTAATTTAATTCAGTTTAGGGTTCTTCTAAGGTGGATTGATTTTTGAACTATTGGGTATAATTTATTTCTTCTAAAGGTTAGATTTTTGTTATTCGTTTTCTTAAGTGGCAAGAATTTGAGTCAAATTTAGTTGATATTGTGCTGCAGAACCCTTAAATTGATTAATGTTAGGACGAAACAATGAAATTGATATTTTTATTTTGTGGGAAAATTGGATCCCAAATTTGAATGCATGATTTGTGTGTAATGAGTGTTTATTATTGTTGATTTTGAATGTCTGTTGAAATTTACCAGGGGTTATGTTCTCCAATTGTGACGAAACGTTTGCCGTACCCTCACTATTATTGATTAGGGTTTCAAAGATTTAGGTTGAATGGAGTTTTGGGGCTTAGGTTGTAAAATTTGAGTTGAATTAAGAATCCTATACATAAGCTCTAACAAATGACATTTGCATATAATTCCAGTGTTCGGCTTATCAAATCTGGGCAGTCGATTCTTATTGCGCCCAAGCATCGAATTAATGTTGCGATTTTTTTAGCTATAAAGCTACCTTGATACCGATTTCTCATTATTTACTATATATTTTTTTTCTTGTTTCTCTTGACCTGTTTCCATTGTTATAATCGCTAGATGTAAACTTAAAAACTTGCCTTTTGCTTGTCTGGGCGGAAGTCCCTATCTAATTATCGGATAAAAATTCATTGTTTGAACCTGTTGAGCATTGCCTCATCCTCTTCTTTGTCATTCAGTTTTCTTTCTTGCCTGTTTCTGTTAGTTCTATTGTTCATTCAGTTTTCAAACTCCTTGGTGCCGTAAATCATGGCACAGATTCATTTGAGATTCTTACCGTGCAACTCCTTTTGGCCTTTCGATTGCTCCTCCTTTCTACCATTTTCTTCTTTCTTTTTTGGGTTGCACCCGGCTTCTGTGCTTCCTCCACAGCAATTTAGCAAGCCTTCCAGATTAGATATACAAGATGCCGAGGACAAGAGCCGCTGCAGCAGCAGCTACAGTCCCAGATACAAATGAGAAGGCCAGTGAACCAGAAAAGGAGATTGAAAATGAGGAGAAGGTAGATTTGGATGGGGAAAATGATCCTGAAGAAACATTAGAGGAAGAGGTTGAGTACGAAGAAGTGGAAGAAGAAGTGGAGGAAGAGGTCGAAGAAGAGGAGGAGGTAGAAGAGGAGGTGGAAGAGATAGAGGAGGAAGAGGAAGAAGTAGAAGAAGAAGAAGAAGAGGAGGAGGAGGCTGATGGTACTGAAAAAGCGGGTGATGCTGATATTGATATGGAGGAAGGGGATGACAAAAAAAAGCATGCTGAGCTCCTTGCACTTCCTCCTCATGGTTCAGAAGTTTATGTTGGTAATATACCTCAAGATGCTACCGAAGAAGATTTGAGGGGCTTTTGTGAATCTATAGGAGAAGTCGTGGAGGTATGTTTTTGTTTTAGTTTTAGTTTGCTCTACTCTGGTTTAGATGTAAAATGCCGACACATTTATGATTATGTTTGTTTGTGACTACAGGTCAGGATAATGAAAGGCAAAGAGCCAGGTGAAAACAAAGGATATGCTTTTGTGATGTTCAGGACAAAGGAGATGGCCTCTAAAGCTATGGAGAAATTGAATGGCACTGAACTGAAGGTAACCTTGGATTGCTTTCTTCGTTATGCTTATAAGAAGGCTCTCATCTAGAATACACCTAATGAGTACATGTATGCATCTAAAATGATTAAATATATGTCTCTACTAAACTGCTAATGCAAATTAGTTATACGTGCTGATTATTTTTAGAACAGTAATGGTGCATTTCAGAAGGCCTCATTAATATATTGGAAAGGGGATAATTGTAAATTTGCAAGACAAGACAGAGGCTTTATCACTTTTATAGTAGGTTGACTTTTTTGTATATCTTTTCAGGGCAAGAAAGTAAGATGTTCCTCATCACAAGCTAAGCATAAGCTCTTTATTGGTAATATTCCTAAAACTTTGGGCGAAGAAGACTTAAGGAATGCGGTTTCAGAGTTTGGGCCTGGGGTGATTGCTATTGAACTCCTGAAGGTTTTAATGCATCTCCTTTGCATCCTGTATATCTTACTTTTCTTTATAATTTGGGCATGTTCTACTGATACTCTTCTTGTTAATGTGGTTATCTGATGTAATTGCAGGACCTACAAAATTCCAGTCGTAACCGTGGATTTGCATTCATTGAGTACTATAATCATGCTTGTGCTGACTATGCAAGACAAAAGATGTCTAAAGCTGATTTCAGGTTGGGTGATAAGTCTCCTACAGTCAGTTGGGCTGACCCTAGTCCTAAGAGCGGATCAAATGCAGAATCTTCTGGAGTGTCTGAGGTATCTTACTCTGTTTCTTTTTCCTGCACAAGTGTTGAATTATCTGTGTCATTGTTTTTTGTTGTTCAAATTAGTAATTTTAAGAGGCCTGCAAATAATTTCTGGAATGCCTAATTACAGCACTTGATTTCTTCTAGCATTTTACTGTCAAAAGTAGCTAGGATTTTGTTGTCTTGTGCCTTTTCAATTACTTACTTAATGTATGGATAGAGGGAAGATTTATATATGATAAAATGTCTCTCAAAGTACCAAGGCACAAAGCTTTGTGGATGATAGCCTTTAGGTTGTCTTAAGGTGCATTAATTTAATACCTTTGGCAGTGTATTTTGTCAGGTCTTGTGCTTTGTGAATCTTGTTTATATACGTGACAATCATGGATTCTTATAGGCTCTTGGATCGCCATTGCATATTTGTGCTGCCTGCCTTTTAACGCTCTGTGTATGAGTTGGATTTACATATTAAAGATGCAGCCTATGTGCTTTATTAATTGCATCAACTGGTTGAGGTATACTGTGCTATATCAACATCTTGTGTGGTTAAATCAGATAATGGTGATATTAAAAATTGCTAATACAATGATAAATCAATCTAATTATTGGCTTGAGAATGCTTGCTTTCCTATGTAGGTGTACTTTTTATTTGTCTGGCAACATGATTACACTACGTTGAGTGTAGTCATTACTGCTTAGTCTCTTTACTGATTGTTATATATGTTGTTTTCTATGTTTGGTGACATGCTTTATCACTTATGAAGTTATGAGCCACCACTTAAACCATAAATTAAGAACTTTTGGCTTGTAGGAAAGATGTCTTTGGAGTCTGGATAAACTCATCACTTAAGTACGCCATTGAGTCTCTAATGTTATACAAGTATTTTTATGTGTTAAATGACTGATTGATCATTTGTAGTTTTCGTAACTGTTGATTTGAATCTGGTTCTTGGTGTGAAGTGTATGGTGTAAGTAATTGAATTTCATGTGGGTAAAATTGATAGGTTAAGGCTGTCTATGTCAAGAACCTGCCCAAAGATGTCACACAAGATATGTTAAAGGATTTGTTTGGGCGACATGGGAAAATTACCAAAGTTGTTTTGCCACCTGCAAAAGCTGGGCAAGAGAACAGCAGATTTGGCTTTGTGCATTTTGAAGAAAGGTCAAGTGCTTTGAAATCTTTGAAGAACACTGGTAGATATGAACTTGAAGGTAATTTTGTTGGTTCGCTTGTTTGGTGCTGATTGTTTCTCTTAGATTCTATATCCTCTGATGCATGCTGCTAACTGCTCGGGCTTTGGTTTCATTTTGGGGGTCACAGGTCAAGTTCTAGATTGCTCTTTGGCAAAGCCACAGGCTGACAAATCATCATCAGGGTCCAATCATCAGAGATCAGCTTTACTTCCTAATTACGGGCCTCGTGTTGGCTATGGCATGTTTGGTGGGGGATATGGTGCGGTTGGTGCAGGATATGGTGCTCCAGTGACTCCAGGCCTAACTCAAGTAAGAATTTATTTTAAATTGTGAGGAGAAAAATTGACTTCATTCTATATTATCTTCTTTAAAGGCCATTATGGTGGTGTCTGATGTGGTTTCTGACTTTCTGTTATGTCAATTATTTGTAGTAGTGATTTGAGTTTGTAAAATGGACCAATGATTGTTACTTGTTTACAGTGAGTTATAACTTAGGAGATGCATGCCATGGAAACTATTGTGACTGTAAAGCATATTTGGTTCACCCTTCATAAAAAATTTTCGGCAACCTTATTATAATTTTTTAAAATGATGTTAATTTCTTTATTTTTCTATTCAGTTAAGATTTTGATGAAGTTAATAAGTTATAGCTGTGGGATCATTCTGCTTCAGTTCTCATCACCCAAACTAATAGATTTTGTTCCCTTGGCAGTCATGTGTTTCTTGTCATGTAAAGGGTCTCAAAAGCCACAGGCTATTGGAACCTTCATATTTAAAAAGAGCTCTCAGGATTGCTAATTTGGGGATTTTTGCTAGTTTAATACAAGTAGTTATTACTCCTCCCCTCAGTATTTATTCGACTCCCCCAAGAACTTAACAACACCAAAACCCACAACACCACAATTTAAACCTTTTGAAAGATTAAAACATGTGGACATGAGTGAACTGTTTGGAACTAGTGTGGCATTCAAGATTGGAGACGGTGGTGTTGTCGTGGTTAGACAAGGGAGACACAGAGAGAGGGGGCTGACCACAAGGTAGAGGCATATGAGGCTGGAGTTTATATTGTAGTGAGTTGTATCTGGAAGATGGACTGTTCTTGGGTTGTGACATTGGGGTTTTATGCGTTGTTGGCTGGTGAAGGTCAAGAGGGAGAGACTACAGAGAAGAAGGAGGGGGGGGGGATTGGGGTTTAATTGGTTAGTTTGGGAGGAGTGAGCGTATGATAGGATTTTCAATAGTGTAATAATGACAAGGGAAAGATTAAGGGCTAAAGTGGGAATTGTAGGACATCAACGGAAATATTCCATACTGAGACAAAAAGGAACATTGAATAAAATTAGCAGGAGCTACAAAAAGGAATAGAGGGAGCTTTTTAGATTTGCATATCTGCAAATATTTATCTAGAACAGTATATGGAAGAGCGTATATAAGGCGTGCCTTAGGCACTAGATGACTATGGTAGAGTGCTTTTTAAAAATGTAGGCAAGGTGCATTCAAAGAGATGACCTGAGCACATTAGACAATTTTAAGATTTGAATATCTACAGCTATTTTCCATTTTAGTCTTTTTGAGCCTTTACAGTTTATGAACCCTGCATTTAAAAAAAAAAAAAAATGAGTTTAGTATCTACAATTTATATGTGATCTAAATGAGCTGAGGGATCCTTGAGTTTTTATTTTTATGAGTTATGACTTTTGATTCTGTTTTTTTTCCAAGTGAAGGAGAACACTGCAATTCTCCTAGAAAAAATGTTGGAAGCTTAAAGTCTATGCATTACCATGGGAGTAGGGGTGTCCATTCGGACTTTGGACTTTGGATTGGACTGAAGCCTAGTCCAATCCAATCCGAAATAAATTTGGACTCTCATTTTATAGTCCAAATCCAAAGTTTTCAAAATCCAATCCGATCCAATCCAAATTAAAATTTCATAGTCCGAATCAAGTTCGATCCAATCCGAATTAATTATAAAAAAATTTTCCTAAGAAATGATTTAGGGTTTCTAGTATATAGTAATGAGGGGATTTGGCAGATTTGGGCTATTGGGTTTGGGCTTACTAATGTTATAAGGGTTGAAGTTTATTATTATTATTATTATTATTTTTTTTAATTATATATATATATATATATATATATATATATATATTCAGACTATTTGGACTGGATTAGACTTTTTTGGACTTAAAAAATTTGAGTCCAAATCCAATCCGAAAATCCGAATTTCAAAATTTTTGAGTCCAAATCCAATCCAAATTTAAAAAACTCAATCCAAATAGCTTATTTGGATTGGATTAGATTGGATTTTGGACTGGAGTCCGAATAATGGACACCCCTACATGGGAGGGTTCAAGCTCGTTCTTTTTTTTTTTTTTTCACGTGCTTTGTTAAGTACTCCCTCCGTCCCTTATTTACATGCCTACTTTCCTTTTTTGGGGTTTCAAAATTACATGCCTACTTCTATTTAAAGAATGTACTTTTTTAACCATATTCCCTCTTTTTGATGAGTTGTCATCAATTTTCTTTTATATTTTTGTACTTTTGACATCATTTTCCAACACTTTCTCCCTCTATCTCTTCAATAATTTCCAACTACATTTTCTCTCTCTAACCCCACATGCACATTTGTACTTCCCAATCATGGGTTTTAAGGAATATCTAAGCTCCTTAATTCCCGTGAAAAATAAGAAATAGGCATGTAAATAAGGGACAGGGGGAGTACCTTTTATGATAGGTGATCAGAAAATATTGTCTTATCCTAATTGAGAGTATTATATGGATTGTATTTGGATAAATGCATTGCCTTGGGAGGATTTGGGCTCATTTGTTTTGTTTTGTTTTTTTCTTTTTCATGTGCTTTGTTAAAGTACCTTTTACGATAGGTAATCAGAAAATATTGCCTTATTCTAACCGAGGGAGTTTATATGGATTGGATGTGGGTAATAGTTCAAGTAGCTTTAATGTTGTCTACACCTTTTTTTGGACGGTTCCTTATGACCATTCAAGTTAGCTGACCCCAACTCATTTTGGGGCTGAGGTTTAATTGCTGTTGTTGTTTAATAGTTCTGAGAAGGTTTTCTGATGCTGAATAACTGAGGTTTTAATTTTGCATCTGTTTTTCTGTCTGTCTTGCATAAATGATCATAATTGAAGCATTAACCAAAATGAGAAGTGATATTTTTATTGTTACTTTTTTTATAATTTTTTTAAAGTTTGATTTTACCAGTCTGTTCCCTGTGCCTTGTTGTTCTGGTTGAATTCTGACGTTTATTATTGTTTTTTTCAGCCACTACTTTATGGCGGCGGGAGAGGTTCAGGTCCTGCTGGTATGGCAATGATGCCGATGCTTCTACCAGATGGAAGGATTGGATATGTACTGTAAGTTACTACTGTTGATTTATGATTTTTTTATTTTTAGTTTCTACTTTTTACCCTTTCATCGTCTTAGTTTTGGGATGTTAATTCTCTCCCCTGCTCACTTCTCTTAATTTACTGGGATAAAAGAAAGGACATTGCTGCTTTATCATTGTTGTTGCTAAACAATTACTGCTCTCTCTTATCCATATTCCTTCTTTCCGATGCTTCAAATGGCAATCTCCCATTCTGGAAAGAAATGTCATAGAAATGGTGTATATTTTGTGCGGACTACCAGATTTTGCTAAGGATATGGGCCTGTATTGTCTAGAGCTTTAAAACTTAGTGCCGGTTGACTAGCAGTACTCCTGTATATAGATTCAGAGGTGTGCAAGTGTGACTGCAGCACTCCATCCATATAGTTCCTTGTAGGTCTTTGCTTGGCTTGAGAGGTTGGTCAATTCAAAATCTCGTCTTTATGTAATACTTAATACCTTTAGGAGCTCTCAAGTTTTTCTATGCAAGACAATGGTATTTAGGCAGGGAAGGATATAATAGCCATTCTTATGGAGTACTTTCTTCAACATTAAAAACGATTTCATTTTGTTGGTGCCTTTTTTGAAAACTGCTGTTCAGAAAGTTATTTGACTTTTTTGAAATTTGATTGTGCTGCATGCTGATACAATCTTTCAAGTCCATGTATCATCTACTAGCCAAAAAAAAAACAGTAAAAAAATGTAAAAGAGAACTTTTATCCTCTACGAGCTTCCGATGATTGGTCTAGTTATGCATTGTAGAAACAGTGTTTTGGAAGAAGACAATGAGTACTATGTAACTGGATTCTGGAGGCACAAATTATTAGGTATCTAGGAGCTTATTTTTGTGGCCCGTATTGAAGAGAATACTTAGAAATTTGGCAAACAATGGAACATTGCCTTTTGTGATTATATTAAGGCTCTATAGTAAGAGTGAACATTGGGATTGTTGGGACCTTTGTCTTCTTAATGTTTGAGCTTGATGCAATCACCATTGTCTTTTGGTGGAGCAGCTCGATGTAAATAAACAAGTTATAGAATTGGAGGGTTCTGGTGGATTAGAAATATAAGCCTTCAAAACAACAAGGCATGGCTTTCTAAATAACATGGAGGGTCTATGCTCAACCAAATTTTCTTTAAATGACTTGTGCGAAATATAAGATGCCCTTTAATCTGAAAATGATTAATGGTGTGTATTTGAAATCATACAATGATGTGACTGGAGATATTGCTTTTGATGTGCCATGCTCAAAATAGGTATGGGCAAATTAATTGTGCGACATGAGATTAATTGTGCCACATGAGTAGTATGGTATTAGAGAAAACTTTATAATTTGATGTGTTACAACTCATTGCATATAGCCGGATATAGTTTCAAGACACACAACTTAAATTGAACTCCAGTTGTTGACGCCGGTATGGAATTTTTGTATAGTCACGAGAGTCTAGAGCCATTATAATCTCTCTCTTTCTTGTGTGTGTGCATGGGCATGTCTTTTTGCGTTGAATTTTAATGTGAATCAATTGTGACACAAAACTATTCCTGTCGTAAGTTTTTAGAGTTGAAATCAGCATTTGACCTTTATCCCCTTGCATATCTTTCCAGGTTGAACTTCATAGTATATCATTTGTTAAATCTAATATTGCAATTCGTTTCATTACTTTTAGAAGGATCAACATGAATTTTTGTTCCTTGTTCCTCTTTGCTCTGAGATGTGTGTTTTTTCTCTTGACATGTAAAATGCCTTGTTCTATCGCTGTAGGCAACAACCTGGAGTGCATCCACAGACTCCCCCTCCACAGCAACATCGAGGCGGTAGAAGTGGTGGTGGTGGTAGGGGTGGCCCTTCTAGTGGAGGAAAGAGGGGTGGTTATAACGGCGGTGGTCGGGGACGGAGTCGTTACAACCCTTATTGAGGCTAAGCCGCTGAGGCCTTCCACTCTCTATCTGGATGGTGTGACTGGAATATTCGTTTTTGACTGTTGTAACAAATTTAATTTATGGTTAGGATTGCAGGAATTATGTACTCTACAAATTAAATCAACCTGTATTATCTTGTGGATTTGTCTATTAATTTAATGTCATGTCTAGTTGTAGCTGGCTTGGTTCACAAATGGTAATGTATACTCACGAAGTCTTAGGTGATGATCTTTGGGGCTGGGCAAGGATTTGAAGGTAGGTGGATTCTTGCATTGTACCCTTGCGCTCAATGCTTGTGTAATTATTTCTCGTGGTTATTACCATTGAGAAGTCTTTCGACAATGGATGAATTCTGTAGGATTTCTAACAGTTCTACAAAACTATAAATACTTTCTTTCCAGTTTCTGAGCGAATAAATGAACACAATTACACAAATAAGCTGTGGAATTGGGTTTAGAATGTTAATATACTTCATTCGTTTTTTAATAACTTTTTCACGGTATTTAAAAAGTGGATTGTTAAGAGTATAATTAAATGGCTTATAAGCTTTAAATAAGAGCAATAGTACCACTTTCTACTAAAAAACCCTTCAAATTATAGTTATTATAATACATCTATATTAGGAAATGTTGTAAGTACTAAAAAACAATAGAGGAAGTACATGTCAATTGGATTGGAGACCGTTGTCCTAAAATTGTACTACCGAGTGTCATACTTATTTTAGCTTGCCACATTAATCATTTACTTGCCAGGTTATTAACTGAGTTTGAATTTTTTTCCCGTAAAGTTCCAATCAAAAATAAACTAGCATAAACTTTTAGTTGCGAAAAAGTGGTGGAGGCTAACTTATAGTGGAGTGTTTGGAAAGTAGTATAACGTGTTCCATACATAAGAAAAAGTGATAGTTTAATCATACATGTAAAAACGGCTTCAGGAAGAAAAGCATAACTATAATTTCCCTCGTCCAAAAAAAAAAAAAAATCCCCTTTAATTTCGAAATTAAGGGATTGAGTCACTGAAACAAAAGTCATACAGTCGGAAAAACAACATAGAGAACAAGCATAACAATTGAAGAAGCTAAGAAAGAAATAGAGGCATCAACATTACATGACGTACAGCCTTAATCTGTTCTTCTGAGTCTTCACCATGCGCAGTTATCATGTACTGATCTGCCACAGGATTAGAAGCAAACAGATAGTTTGATTACAACGGCCTCCTGGTGAATCGGGGCTATGATTTTAAGCTTCCGTGATTAACTGGTAAGTTTCGGTGAATTTGGGAAGATGTCTTCCCTCTGTTCTTCACCTCTTTTTTGATAATGTGTGTGCTTATGTTACTGCAATCTCAAGGATCTCCAAGCACTCAAGATTTTTGCACAACAAGAAATGGAATGACCAATCACAAGAAGACTATAGCATAGTTTCTTGCAAGTTGCAACTAAGTTAGCTGACATCAACTTGAAATGACAAAAGTTGTGGCTCAGAAAAAATGAAGAATTTTGTATTATAGCACAATATATTTATTAAGGTATGATCTAACAAGAGTTGCCAAACAATGAGACTACAGACTTGTCGGCACCACTATGCTTCTAGTCGACTAATTAAAAAAAATAAAAAATAAAAAATAAAAACATGTATCAGTCCTCTAAACAAATAATACAGACACCATATGAAGGGTGCAATCTCTCAATTTTAACACAACATGTGACCTTTGCTAATATCTCTATTATTCTTCTTCTAAAACACTGATTTCACAAAAAACTCACTGTTAAAAAAAACATCTACTGCTACAAGCGTTGTCCAAAACTCCTTTATTCAGATTTAGGGGCTCTGAATTCTCTTACAGTTGCAACTTATTATCATCGAGGAACATGGAATTAGGAGCAACGCAAAATTTTCAGAAATAACTGAAACATAATTTACCTGCAGAAAAGCCAGATGGATCATTGTCAGATAGGTTTTTTTCCCCTAACCTCTTTTTCTCCTGCACGGAGGGAGGGGCCAGGAGACCAATCTTTTCACAAAGTTCATGGTTATATGAGCAAACATCTTCATTACCAATTTACTACAACAGAGATCTGAGGATATTTAAAGTTTATTGTGACCCAGTGAAAAATAAAATTAACTGGTATAGCTAACATATTGTCACGCCCAACTGGCTCTTTGCTAGCCAGGTTTGCAGTATAGAATAACAGAAGTAAGAATGAAATACTTGTATCTTAATACATTCAAATTTGGTTTTAAAAGAACTCCCATTTCTATAAACAGCAGATAAAATAAAACAGTAAAAGAGGACTATGGATTTCCAATGATTTGAGTTGATAACTGAGAAGAAATATGTGACAAGACAGCCCAGTTATGCCAAAACCAGAGATTAGCACACATAACTAATAGTGTGACCAGGTTACTTTCAGCAAGACTGCAAGAGCGATGCTTTAAAACTTTGCAAAAGTAAATTACAAAATCACAACTGGGCTAAATCAAACCAAGATCAGCAAATTTCAATTACTAAAGAGTTTTCTAATTTGAAAGAGCATTAGCATCCGAATGGTGCACAGAGGATCATAATTACTGAGTGACACTAGTTGCAAGTATGGGTTATGTAGGCAGAACTCAGAGAAACAATAAAAAGAGTTTATTAAAACCACTCTGGCACCAAGCTTTCATGGCGTGCAGGGTATGACAACATATACTCAAGAATTAAAATGGGGAAACAAAAAGACTGTCGTAGTTGAATATCTACTATAAGTTCAAAGCAACAAAAACTACTAAAATGAACAAAATAATGCAAGGTGACGACAAGTATTAAAGTAAAAACTCACAGAATTTGTTATACGATCACATGAAAATAGAGAGGTCCTGGGGCGGATCAATCCAAATGCTCTCAAATGGATCCTGCTCTCCCCAGTCGTGAAATTGCTTGCGAGGATAGTATCTACTGTCCTTCAGGGAATATGATATGCATCGTTTTCCATAGAAACGAACTTTAGAAAAATAAACACTATTCCTCATTGTTCCAGGAAGATCTGTTCTTGAATGCGATGAAAGAAAGCTTGCAAAGAGAGTAATCCCATCTAAGGTTTTTACTTCTTCCCATACCATGTTTGTCTGATCAAGTTTGAATATAATTGGGTAATCACTACAACAGGTGTATATCACCAAAATGTCTCCATTATGTTCTGCCAGAAATTTACCTTTCCACCAGTTTTTTGTGAAAAAGTTTTCTGGACATCTTGGAGGAGGCACCACCAGAACATTCCAAGTAAGCTCTTTTGGATCGAAAACCCCAAGCCATCCAGTTAGGCTAAGACAATAAAATTTCCCATCAGAGAAAACCAATTTGTTCCATATACTACTGACAAAAGGCAGGCGATTTTGGTAATTGGCAGTTGTCCATTCTGTTGCCCCCGGATAACAAGTACTAATAGCAACAACTGTAGGGCTAACATGCTTCACTGTAAACACAACACAGCTCGGAGATGTTGGGTCACAAGAGAAAGCAACTATTTGGCAAGTGATTTCAAATCTAGGCAACTTAATCAACTCCCGGGAGAAGGGGTTAAAAAAGAATAGGCGATGAGTTCTGGGTCTGTATAACAGTAGCCAACCACCTTTTGTGTAACAGACTCTTGATCCACTCAACTCTGCTAATTCAATAGAATAAGTCTTGCGGCTGAGAGGGTCATAAAATTCATAAAGATCCCCAAATTTCGGAAAATACATAATCCAGGGAGGCTGGTTCACTAGGCGCACAGAAACAGCAATCGAGTGCCATCTCTTGCAGACAGCAGAAAAACGGATGTTCTCCCTAAGGGTCAAATGACAGAGAATCAGCTCTAAAAGTTCAGCAGGAAGATCAGACCAGGAAGGCAGCTCCTGTGCGTCTTGCTTCACCTCAACAGAAGTCTTCCTGTCATCTCTAATAGCTGCGGACAACCTATCCAGAACATATAATCATTGAGCTCCTGATTCTTAAAATATCAATGCATAAACAAAAAATGACATTCCTTATAAGATAAACCCAAAAATGAATCATTTGATAAAACCTCTTTGATTAATCCTCTTTCTACCAAATCCATTGGAAACCAGACTGCTAAACATCTGAAATAGGATAAAAAGCCAAAATGCAACAACTCAATTCGAATGTATTCATCTTCTACATCCCAATTCTAAACCCTAGATGATTATGCAAAAATCCAGTAAACTTATCACACTTCATAAATGAACAGAAAAATCAATCAACCCACAACCCCAATTTCATTTCTCACGAATAATATACAATTGAAACAGATCAATGAACACGGTTTACACACAATTAAATTACTCACACCCACATAAATTTCTGGACTCGAATTGCAGATCGTTGATTAACAGTTAATCAAATTTGAAATTCTATAAAACCCAATTCAAAAATGATGAACAATAATCAATAAATGCTCCAATCTCAAAAACGTAAACCCTAATTCATTCAAACCCCATAAAATCAAATTAAAAAAAATTCAATAAACATAGAAATTAAGCAGTAATACAATTGAAATTGATATGATTGAATCAAGAGAACTTACGATTTGATTCTTCTTCTCTTGTTTGATGGCATGATAAGAGAGCAAAATTGGGGAAAATGAAGATAAGAGAGAGAAAACGAGCAACACTAGATGAGCGGTTGAAGAGTAGTAAAGTGCCCAGCAACCAGAATTCAATCTGTCTAATAAAAACTTTGGGTTAAAATAAAATTATAATAAGGCTAAGTCTTATCTAAATCTTCAATTTTTAAGATAATTATTGTTAAGTTCTACAAATGGGGTTTAAAATATGATGGAGATTGTTAGTTTTGATCTTTTGAAGTTATGGAAGATAAGTTTGCGTTTGAAATTTATATTAAGATGGTATTGCTTTTGTTCGGTAATAATAATATGACTTTTATGATCACAATTCAATGATTAGGATAACTATCTACTCGTAATATAGATCTCGCAAATAGAAGGATTTGAACATATGATAGACGTGTATGATAATATAATCAGTGTGTGGTTATATTCAGTAAAAATTCAGTATTTATGATAATAAAATTGATATATTTATTTGTTGATCCAATATACTATCATGGAAACTATTCAAATATTTCATGTACATGTAGCTTTTACAGTTTTACTGGTTGAAGACTTCACACCTTACTATAGGATAGTAGTTTATCCTATCCCAAAATGTTCACTTATAGCAACAATATAAAACTGCTTGAAAGTTATACTAATATACTACCATACAAGTTGAAGTCTTTACACTTAGAGTTTATTCTACATAGTAAAATGTTTATAACAGCAATATAATTGCAATTGAAATACTACCTCCGTTAATTTTTATGTACAACTTTGGAATATTTTATACCTCACAAATAATACCGCTACGTAAATACTATATTTATACGTATACAAATATCGTAGAGATAGACTTGGGCGTATTACCGCCACGTGAAAACGTAAGGCTTAATTAATTACTCAAATTGCAGCGGAAAAATAACTAACTTTTATTAATAATATGAATAACCATAATAACTGTTTCAAAATAAACCAATAAAAACTTGTCCATACATAAATAAAATTAATTCCTATCTATGTGATCCCAATCCCGACTCTAGTATGCGTACGAACAACTTCACACCTGAAATCAAGACTCCTTACCAAAATGGTAAACAGGGCGAACCAAAACAAAAAGGAAAACAGATTAGCCATGTGGGTTGGAATTTGGTTACATTCAAGTAAGAAGGTAGGATAAAATTCACTATAAGTTGGGCTACGGCACGAGCCATAGCTAGAGTTGCAGTTTGGGCTAACATAGGGGCCAGGGTTACGGTTTGTACTGTGTTTTGGACTAGATACTCGACCTCTTGGGACAAGGGGTTCAGTAATATGAGGTGGGGATTCAAAGTCATTTGGGTGAGGGATTTCTAAGTCATCGAATGATGTATAGTCAAGATGCAAACGTGGAGGTGGTAAGGGTGGCATATCATAGTTTAAATTATTTAACTTTGGACTTCTTGAGGTGTAAGCCGAAGAGGAATTTCAGTAGATCCCTCGAAGATCAATGCACTGAGTGAATGGCCAACACCTAAGAATGTGTCAGATGTTCGAAGTTTCTTGGGATTGGCAGGCTATTATCGAAGATTTGTGAAGGATTTTTCGAGGATTGCGAGGCCCATGACGAATTTAATGAAGAAGGAATGTAAGTTTGTTTGGACCCAGGAGTGTGAACAAGCGTTCCAGACCTTGAAAGACAAGTTAACCTCAGCTCCAGTATTGGCTTTGCCAGATGAAAGTGGGCAATATGAGGTGTATAGTGATGCATCGAAGTTTGGATTAGGTTGTGTTTTAATGCAGAATCGGAGGGTCATTGCATATGCTTCGAGACAATTGAAACTGCATGAGGTGAACTATCCAACCCATGACCTGGAGTTAGCTGCGATTGTGTTTGCTTTGAAAATTTGAAGACCATTATCTATATGGTGCAACTTGTAAAATGTTCATAGATCATCAAAGTATAAAGTACATTTACACTCAGCAGTATTTGAACTCGAGACAGAGACGATGGTTGGAATTTATGAAAGATTATAGTGTGAATATCCAATACCATGAGGGGAAAGCTAATGTGGTAGCTGATGCTTTAAGTAGGAAAACCAGTCATTTGATGAATTTGATGATTTTACCAGACCAGTTGTGTGTAGAATTTCAGAAGATGAATTTGGAAGTGGTGGAGCATGGAGAGGTCAGTAAGATGTTAAATGCCTTGGCAGTGAAACCTTCTATTTATGATGAGATTAGAGAAAGTCAGTCGGGCGACTCGAAGTTGAAGGCAATAAAAGAGAAGATTGAGGGAGGGCAGGTTTTGGACTTTACTATCGCAGATGAGGGAAGTATTCGATTTAAAGGGAGATGGTGTATTCCACAACATCGTGGAGACATCAAACAGAGACTGATGGAGGAGGCCCATAGCTCTCCTTATTCGATGCATCTTGGAGGGGATAAGTTGTATAAGGATATGAAAAAGGTCTTTTGGTGGCCAAACATGAAGAAAGAAGTAGTAGAGTTTGTGGCAAAATGCTTAACATGCCAGAAAGTGAAGATAGAGCATCGAAGGCCACAAGGAATGGTTCAATCCTTGGAAGTACCAAAGTGGAAGTGGGATTCGATCGCCATGGATTTTGTGGGGGCATTACCAAGGACCAGGGCAGGGAATAACACTATTTGGGTCATTGTGGATCGATTGACTAAGTCCACAACCTTTATACCTATGAAAAACACTTGGTCTATGGATCAGTTGGGAAGGGCATATGTGAAGTTTGTGGTGAAGTATCATGGAGTGCCTACAGATATCATTTCAGATCGTGATTCAAGATTCTTGTCTAACTTTTGGAAAAGTTTGCAAAAGGCCATGGGAACAAAGCTATTAATGAGTACAACTTTTCACCCTGCAACTGATGGTCAGACTGAAAGGACCATACAGACCTTGGAGGACATGTTGAGAGCATGTGTATTGGAGTATCAAGGTTCATGGGAAGATCACTTAGACTTGATTGAGTTTTCATATAATAATAGCCATCATGCAAGCATTGGAATGGCCCCGTTTGAGGCTTTGTATGGAAGGAAATGTAGGAGCCCAGTTTATTGGAGTGACATAAGTGAAACTGTTGTACTTGGGCCTGAAATGATAGAGGAAACTGTTAAGCAAGTAAAGCTGATCCAAGAGAAAATCAAAGCAGCCCAAGACAGATAGAAAAGTTATGCTGATGAGAAGCGCAGAGATGTAGAGTTCCAAGTAGGAGAAAAGGTGTTGCTAAAGATATCTCCTATGAAGGGAGTAATGAGATTTGGTAAGAGGGGGAAGTTAAGCCCAAAGTACATTGGGCCATATGAGATTCTTCAGAAGGTTGGGAAAGTGGCATATAAGTTGGACTTACCCAACGAGTTGGAAAGGGTGCACAATGTTTTTCATGTAAGTCAGATTCGCAAGTACATTCCTGATGTTTCACATGTGCTAGAACCAGAGACATTTAAGCTAGATGAAATTTTGACCTATGAAGAAAGACCGGTGAGAATTTTAGATAGTAAAGTTAGAAGCACCTGAAACAAGGATGTGAAGATTGTCAAGGTTCTATGGTCGAACCATAAGGTTGAGGAAGCAACTTGGGAGGCTGAGGCAGAAATGCGTGAAAAGTAACCTAACATTTTCATGGTGAGTGGTTAAGTTACGGGGACGTAACTCTCTTTTAAGGGGGGTAGAATGCAATAGAGTTTCACACTTTTCTTTTTATGTCTTTTTATGAGTCTTTTGAGTCAAGTCTTTAGGTTGTGCATGAACTTACTAAATTTTAATCAATTTAAGATAATTTGGAGTATTAATTCGAGTTATTGAATAATTTTAAGTTTCAGGACGAAACTTCTTTTAAGGGGGGTAGACTGTAATACCCCTAATTTTATGAAAGATTTTCTTAATTATTTTAGTAATTTCTCTAATTATTTGGAATAATTAAATAAATTATGATCTTGGTCGGTCCATAATTTGTTAGTTAACGTTGTACGCTATTTATTTATTTTTTTAAAAAATAATAATAATAATAATAATTGTTTCGGGGTTTTCTGATGTCCTGCGGGAGAGTTACAATTCCGAGACTGGAACCGGACGCCTGTACCTGCAAAACAAACGGATGCTCCGGATGATTGGAGATCCGCCTCCGACGGTCAAGTTAGTACTTGATTAAGGAGTAATTAATGCGGAAATTAAAGTGATTGGGTCTCTCTAGGTGAGAGTGTTTAATGTGTGTAATCTGCTTTTTAGCGTGTAATCTCCCTTAATGAGGATTAAGGGAGGTATTTATAACCTCGGGAAACGTGTCAATCTAGGTTTAGATTAACCTTGGGCTGATTGGGCTTCCCTCGGAAGTTGGGCCTAGGTGACCGGTTATCCCAGGTGTCATGGGAAGGACACGTGTCGTGTCGTAATTGGTCCATAGTGGACGGATCATTGCTTGACACGTGGCAGGCTCCTATTGGCCCATGTGACGGACACATGGCGGAACCTGATTGGTCCACTTGTCAGATGGTGATTGGTGGGGAAAAATCCCCTAATCATTTGCCCCTCACAGGTGGCACGTGACTGGTCACGTGTTACCTGTGACAGGTCTCGCCCTGTAACAGGCGACGGCCTGCTACAGGTGTCACTCGGCGAGAGGCCGAGAGATTCTCCCGCCAAAATTTTGAATTCTGGAAGTGACCCTTCGCCTTCTCACTTTGCCTATATAAAGGAGTGTTGACTTCAGTCATTTTCACACTTGAAAACTTTGTGAGAGAAAATTCGGACCCCTGAACTTGCTCTGACATTTTGGACCGTTTCTGCCTACCGCCTGCTCTGACAAGCCGACTGCAAAGGATTTTCAGAACTTCATCAATCGTCACTCGTTTAGGTAACCGTCGGTTCTCTTACTCTTAATTTTCTCTTTATTCTTTTTTGAAATGGCACCACTGAAGCACACGACACGACCTAGGTTAGTGATCAGCCGGTCACCGGGGACGGCTGAAATCTAGGACTAGGAGTGCCGCCTGCCCTTTTCTGGACCCATCTTTGCCCTTTATACAAAGTCCGACTGTATTTGTGTCTATGCAGAGCATGATGGCCAGAACAAAAAAGACTGCCAGGATCTCAAACTCAGACGGCTCCTCCCACAGGGTGCCGATTAGTGAAACATTTGACCAGGCGCCAGATGTGGAAGTGAAACAAAGCGGCTTGAAAGCCGGCAGTTCTGAGGGAGGAGTCAAAGTGACCCCTTCCCCTTTTACAGTTGACAATTCTACATTCTCTCCTGCTCCTTTTAAAGGAGAGGAGGCGGGCCCCTCCGGGAGATGGGAGGAGTCGTCCTCTTCGGACTCGTCAGAGGACGATTCCGAGTCTAGCTCTTCTGGCCATGCTTCTCTGGACACAGAAGAGAAAAACAGTCGCCTACAAGAGGCGAGGCTTTCTCACGCAGTTGAGAAGGGGGACGATTGGGCGGAGCCATCCGCCTCTCACCGAGAGCAAAATACCCCCTACTACTGCACAGTACCTCGGGGCCGGATCACAGCCATGCAAGAAAAAGTGGAGAGCTTTATTGCAAACCACACAATGGGCCCCGACTTTTTAGTGTTCGTGCCGGATCCAGAAGACACAGTCGTCTGGCCGGCTGGTACCAGTTATGATGGCGCCTGCTTTGGCTGCTACGAGGCGGCCATCAAGGCTGGGCTGCGCTTCCCACTACATCCGGTTGTTCAGCGGATCTTGGATGGGTATGAATTGGGGTTATGGCAGTTAGCCCCGAACTCCCGGGTCAACGTACTCGGCTATGTGGCCGGGTGAGAACTGCACGGGGTGGAGCCGAGCTTCGAGGCTTTCGCCCACATGAACTACCTCAGCCGGACCCCTAAGGCAGGCGGTACCGGCTGGTATCAATTGACGAGCCACAGGGGCTACCTCATGACGAGAGGTAAAGCAAACAAATGGAAGGACTGGCGGAGCACCTTCCTCATCATTGAGAGTTCAGACACAGAGCTGAACAAGCGCTTCAACAGGTGGAACAGGAATCCGGCCCTTCTTGCAGGCGGCCGCAGCATGCCGCCTGTTCCCCCCAAGGCTAAGAAAGAGATCCTAGATAAAGGACTCTTCAAAGTAGAGTCGAAGGTGAACTCTACTTCAGGGGTACGAGAGCAAGTACCCCTGCACTGCGTCCCGAGCTTCAAATGGCTCTACGACGAGTACTTTTTGGCCGCCTGTGGCCTCAGCAGTCGGTGCTCAAGAGGTAGCCGGCCTGTCGAATACTCTGTTGTTCCGTGCATTTCTTGTTATGACTTTTATTAACTTTGTTATTTTTTTTTTGCAGCGGACTCCATGAGCAAAATTACCGCCTCCAAGACTGCGGCGGCCATGTTGCGGGCCTCCATCATGCAACGGTCTTCAACCGACTCCCCCAACAAGGGGGCACCCTTGGTGGGCTTCGAACCTTTTACCCTCTTTTTGGAGTTGTGTTTATGCATATACTGACACTTTTCTTCTTTCTTAGACGGGCGCTCCAAGAGCTTCTTCTTCCCAACAGCCGGACCCCAAGGCCCGGAGGACGACTGTTGCGTGCTCTCCTGGTTCTGCCAGGAAACATGCGGCGGCTGAGAAACAGCCGGCCACCTCTTCTAAAACTCCAGCTGGGCCACCTAGAAGTATGAAATTGTCCTTGTAAATTTTAGACTTGCTCCCTTCTTTACTAGGTCTAATCCGTTTGTTTATGCTTGATGCAGCCGGCCCTCAGGAGCCTGACTTGGTCGAGGTGGCCAAGTCTATGATCAAGGTCGTCCCTCCAGCTGAAAGGGAGGCGGTCAGGGGTGTCGGCACCCTTGACCTAGATGGGATTGCAGGGGTCCTTGCTGAGGTATACTTAGCATATTTTTGAGTATTTGAATTCCAGGACGCC